AAAAAAAAGTTTATTCATTTCTAAGACCTCTAAAAGAATCTCACATTTATAAATTGATTTAAAAAAAAACGGTGGATTCGAACAGAAGTACTTAATTATGAAAAATATAATTATTGTCTGTAATATACCTAACTCTTAGTGAATTCACATCTAATTTCTATTCTTATCACAGTTGTTCAAGTATCTCTCAGAGTGGAGGAAGTAAGCTTGAAGAGAGTGTTGATCATGTTATTTCGAATCCTATGAAAGACATTGCTAGCTCATCTTCAGAGTTAGTCAAGGAGTTAGTAGATTGTTCTGCAGAGAAGGAGAATGTGGATAATCAGAGCAGGTATGTCTAATTTTTCCATCGATTTACTTTGCAACATAACCATGCCAGATATATTTTGTGTCATTTATGTAAAATAATTTTCTGAATATCTCATATATGAGTAGGGTGCATACATATAATTATATTGCAGACTTTGTTGTATATCATTGGTATACTCTATGGTATTAATGTGAATTAACTACAGTAATCATTGATATGCAATGTTTACTCTGATGTTGATGATTTTCATTTGGTAGGTACATATTTCATAGTACATGCACCTATGTTTTCTTCTGAAGCCCTTATGATATACATACTGTTTGTGTATTCAATTGTGTTACAATAATATCAAATACAATGATACACCTATACAGATCAAATATTTTAATATTAATAATATTCAAATAACAGTTCAGTCAATATCAGATACTGCAAAAGTGAAATAAGTGAAAACATTCATAAGTATGTTAATCACATCCATAGTACTATGATAATTCTTATTTCTTTATTTATTTAGTTATCAATATCTCAACTGAGGGTGTATGTATATTGACTATAATTTTGTAATAGGAGTTCATCAAGCTTACCAAAGAGTACTGGAAATATTTCACCTCCCTCAGAACCATCATCTGAATCTGGCCAATATGATTTATTGCATAAAAAAAGGAAATTGGAGTCATCATCCAGTGATAGTGAAGGATTCAAAGGAACACCCAAGAAAATTAGAAGAGATATAAAAATAATACATACATACAGGTAAATAAATGTTAAATATTATTTTCTCAAAATGAGCACCATCAGATTCCAATTCAAGAAATTTTGAATTTTTTGTAATTGTGATGAATCTGAATATTGGAATTTGAAAAATAATCACCATATTCTGGTATGATACCAATAATGTTCCTTTCAAGCATTGTGAAAAATGTAATAGAAATGTTTTCCTAAATTTTCGAAAAAAAAACAATATTTCAGAAATGATTTTATAGATTTTTTCTGAAAGTCAATAATCGGTCAATAACTTCAAATACTCCAATGAAAAATTTTGATTTCAGCACAACCCCTCATAAAATGGCAATCAATTTGAAGGCAGTAGGATTATCCAAGAAAGTAGTTCAAGGAAAATTGAAAACAATGAAAGAACGTGTCAAGAGACTCTCAAAAAAAGTTAGTCATCTCAAACATATTGTTTGGCACTTGAAAAATAAAAGAATTATGTCAGAAGAAGCAATAGTTATGCTTGAGAAGACCTACTCTGGAATACCCATGTATCTGATGAAGAGATACATATCAAATGCAAAAAAAAATGTGAAGGGTAAAAAACAGGGTAGAGAAAAGTTTCCTGAAGAGCTAAGAAGCTTCGCATTAACTTTACAGTTTTACTCAAGTAAGGCATACAATTATGTAAGAAAAGTTTTCGACTTGGCTTTACCTTCTCCAAGTACAATAAGGTCTTGGCTAAGTAATATTGAGTGTAATCCAGGATTTTCGGAATGCTCATTCATCACCTTGAAGAGGATTGTTGAAGAGAATAAAACCAAAAATATTGACACCATTTGTGCCTTAGTCATTGATGAAATGGCAATAAAAAAACAAGTGGACTTCATTAACAATAAGATGTGGGGATATGAAGATTTTGGCACTGGAGTGTCTGATGATCAGTTGAAATGTGCTACTGAGGCATTTGTTTTGTTGGTGGTTTCAGTAAATAGTAACTGGAAGTTACCTATTGCTTATTTCCTCATTAGTTCATTAACTGGATCAGAAAAATCGAATATCGTGAAGGAGGCTCTCACAAGATTGTTCAATGTTGGTGTTAGAGTAACATCTGTCACTTGTGATGGCCCTAGTGCAAATTTTACAATGGCCACACAGTTGGGTGCAAAAGTATCTGATATTAACAACCTGAAGCCATATTTCCAGCATCCAGTGGATGACAGCAATGTGTTTGTTATTTTTGATGCTTGCCATATGATGAAGCTATTAAGAAATAACTGGGCCACCAGTAATATATTTGTAGATTACAAAGGAAGAAAGATCGATTTCAAACTTATCAGTAAATTACATGACATACAGGAGAGTGAAGTATGTAAGTTTGGAAATAAGTTGAAGAGAGCACACCTTGAATGGCAACAACAAAAAATGAAAGTGAGTTTTTGTCACATTTTCATTTCACTGTGTTATTGTATTGACCTCAATTTGATTTTCAGGTGAATTTAGCTGCTCAAACAATATCCAACAGCATTGCTGATGCTTTAGAGTTTTTGATGAAGGACATACAGCACCCTGACTTTGCAGATGCTGAGGGAACAATCATTTTCCTTAGAGTTTTTGATAGAACCTTCGACTTATGCAATTCTCGAAGCCCTATTGGAAGGGGAAGTAAAGCTCCACTTCGGGAAAGAAATGAACAATATTGGAGACCCATTTTATTAGAGGCTATGGAATATTCAAGAACTTTGAAAACTGAAAGTGGACAGTTCCTCCATCTAACAAAGAAAAAAACTCCATTCAAAGGATTTTGCATAACTATAATGTCCATCATAGGGATTTATGAAGAATATGTGAAGAAGGAAAATTCACCTCTAAAATATGTTCTAACTTACAAGTTTAGCCAGGATCACATTGAATTGTTCTTCTGCTGTATTAGGTAAGTGGAAGTTACCCCTAAATTCATTGATTCAAATCCATATTATGATATCTACTTTTGAGAATGCTAATTTTGTCTATTTTTAGATCAAAAAATGGATGGAACAATAATCCTACAGCCTACCAATTTCATTATACCTACAAGCGATTAGCATTGAGGCATGATATAACCGATTTGAAAGGCAACTGTATGGATGATGAGACCCACATTTTAACAACCAGTCCTGGAGATATTAAAAAAATCGTCCCTATGGTTTCTATTGACGATGTTGCTGTTATTAAAAAATATAGCCTAGACATTTCAGATACAATCATTATTGATGATAATATTGAATATGAAATGCAGTTTTTGCCATCCTTGAGTGTTCTTACAGAAAATGTTGTAACTTACATCAGTGGCTTTGTTATAAAAAAATTGAAAATTATTATCAAATGTTTTGAGTGTCTCTCGAAAACTGAATCTGTAAATAATTTTTCTATAGATGGAGATAATTTCAAGTTATTGAATCGCAAAAATCGAGGAGGACTCATTAAGCCTTCTGAAGATATCATAAAAATATGCATGCTATGTGAAAAGAAACTGAGGTTTATTCTTGAGTCAAATAAAAATATGATACCAAAAGAAAAAAATTTTTTTATGATTTTGGTTCATAAAATATCAAATGAATTGTTGGAAAGAAATATATTTCGAAATTTGAATGATCATGTCCTTGACAATTCACTTTTAGAAAATCATAAACTCAGGTTGATAAAAACTACAGTAGAGATATACTTGAAAATAAAGTTGTATCACCTTGGAAGACAACAAACTGAGTTCATGAGAGGGCTGACAATTCGTCAAAAAATGAACAAATTGGTGTTATTTTCCCACCAATAATCAATAACATTTGTGACTTTGAAAAAAATTGACATTTCCTTTTCTCTAGATTTTTTGGGATTTCCTCCGCGTTCCTATAAATAATTTCAATTCTTTATGTTGAAAACGGGAGCTGAATTTCGGTTTCCCGTAACGTCCATTAATAATAAGAAATGGATTTTTTTTGTTGATATACCTACATTCTTCTTCAAATAATAATCATACTTTTATTCACAGAAACGAGGAGAGAAAATCCCAAAATATCTAGAGAAAAGAATATTCCACCTTCTCGTTTAACCTAGACAGGATTTGAAATTTTCTATTTTAACACTACAGTTTGTGTCTCCTTGAAAAAATGTTTTATGAATAACAGAATGTATTTCATTTTTTCTTTCCCAAAATGTATTTGCGTCTATCTTGCCTTAAAAAATGTTTTCGATTGGTAATTATTGAATAAAAATGTAGTTGCCTATTCAAATGTTTTATTTAATGTTTTCAATATTATTACTGAGTGAAAAACGAGGTGAAAAATATATTAGCATGATTCACCTACCTATATTTATGTGTATAATTTAATTCCATTTGGTGAGAATCTGTACTTGCTACCCTTTTTCACCTTTTGAACAAAATTACTTGTTTCTATCTATATCAATTCAGAAAAATATCTTAAGAAATTGTTAAAATCCCATGTTTTTACGCATTTTTTGAGCCTCAAAGTCTGTTGTCTATTTTCTCTGTTCCAGATAAAAATATATATATTCCATCAAAGAAAAAATATATTTTCGAATGATAATTTTTCCAAAGCTCGGCAAAATAACGCCGAAGTATTTTGTGTTCAAATGTCAACATTTGATAGCAGTCTTCGAAAAATGTAAATTCACAAACTATTTTACATTATAATTCAACATACTTCAATGGGCAAGAAATAAACGTTCATTGGCAAGACCGGCCCTGGTTCCAATATGAGTGCGCATGCTCACAACCTTAAATTCGCCATGTCTGCGCGAGGTTCTAATGAGCGTATTATTGATATCATGCATCGGCATTCCATTTGTAGGGTATAGTTTCAGTGCTCAGAACCCTAAGCATAAACTGTGACCTGTGACTGTGCCTATCTGTGTCCAGTGACAAGACACTTCCAATGTCATGTCAATTTTAGAGTGTCAACCTGTCAACTGCCAATCAATTGTGATCAAATGAAAATCAAAAGAAAAGAACAAATGTCAGAAAAGTGAATTGAAAATAATTTTGTGAGAAAAGAAAAGAGGAATATCAATTAGATTTCTTTTAAGTAATGAGAAAAAAAATTAGAAGGTAATACCCAATTGATGTATGTATTAATTGGAATAAGATCAAAGACATCTTCATTTCAGGCTGAAATCTGATTAGAAACATGAGGGGTCTCATATTTTATAATTTTTTTGTTTGTTGCATTATAATTGAATTTACAAAAGCAGCACCAACGACAGGAATACAAAATTCGTCACTACCTGAAAATACCTTTCTAACATCTATAAAAGAAAAATGTTATGGAGTTGTTCAAAATGAATCCATCACAAAATTCACAAACCCACAATTGCAGAAATGTGTAAACTGGACTCAAATTAACAGTACAACAGTTCTAGATAGAACCACTGAGCAAGATGTTTTGTGCCTCTTATATCATGACAGTTTCATCTCATTTTGTGATGAAATGAAAAAATATCCCAAATCCAAGATAGATACTAGTGATTTTGATAAAATCATCAAAACATACACTACTAAAACGATTTGTGATAATGGTGTCATTCCAGTTGACAGAAGTTATGAGCACATCTTGCTGGACTTGATTAAACAAAAAGAAACATGTTATAAGCTTTGTGGGACTTACAACAATAATTATCCAGTTTATGAATGTGCATTTGCTAATTATGTGGCAACCTTGGATTTCCATACTATAAATGATAAGGAAAATGTGCACACACAAGAGTTAAGCAATTTGCCAAGTACTAAAAAAGAAAGTAATACAATAACAGTGAAACTAGGGAATTCTGAGGAAAAAACAGGCAGCAGTAAAGTTCATGATAAGGTGGAAACCGGTAAACATCAAGAGCCTAATTCAATTTCCAATGCACAGGAAAATGTTGGATTCCCTAATAACACCCCAGATGATGTAAAAGCAGCTAAGGACCAATCAAATGTTCCTTCTCCTGTTCTCAATGTGCAACAAAATCAAGTCACAACACAGGAACACCATAATCCTGATGACCAAGAAAACAAAATTGCTGATCAAAATGAGGGTGAAAAAGAAACCCAGAAAAATGTTGAGACAAATGAAACACCAGATCAGAGCCAGCATGGTGTTGCAGGTCAGGAGAACAAACAGCCAGATAGCAAACAGGACAATAAATCTCTAGCAAACCATGATGATTCTTCTCAGAATAACCAAAAAACTCAAAATACTGAAACCCACAATCCCCAGGCAGATAAAAATTTGGAACAAATACAAGACCAGGATGGCAGTAATGGCAGATTTGACAAGCCAGATGAGAAAGAGGGTGAGAAAACCAAAGAGAAAACAGTAAAGGATGATGGAAAGCTCACCAATACAAATGAGGACAGTCCTGCAAAAAAAGAGAGCACTGCAGTGAATGAGGAAGAAGGTGATACAAAAGTTGATGATGTAGCACAAGAGGTGAATCAGTTTCAAGAAACTGATGCTGAAGAAAGTATAGGTAAGTTGAGTCCTGAATATCAAGTTTTTGAAATTTAGTGTATAATTGAAATCAAATTGATTTAATCAATCCATATTCACCACAAATCCATTAGGTGTAGATGAATCTATGTTAATAATATAAATGAAATATAAACCAAAGGCAACCATGATGGTGAACAAAAGTTTTAGGGTGAAATTATCCAGGAAATTATAATTTAGGATTTTTAGCATTATAATTTTTCTATTGTTCATAAATGATTTACCTGGAAATTTACAATTCTTATAACAAGTTCTGTGTTCTGTACCTGGCTGATGACAGTGATAAAACAGAAAAAAAAGTAAAACATTGTGGCAGTAATACTTTTACAAGCATAAAGAGAAAGGTGGATAAACATGCAAATATTGTATTCAGAAAGTAATAATATTAAAATACAATATCAGAATAGAGACTATAATATAGTGTTGTTGTGTTGTTACTATTCATTCAGAACAAAAGAGCATTTTAATAATCTGTGGTACTGATTACAACAATGCAAATATTTTCTATGCTGTGTATTTATCAACACACTTTTATCATTTTATTTTGAACTTCTTTTTAGTTTGCCTTTCTATAAAAGGGTGTTTCTTTACTTTTTTAAACTACTAATTATTACAATATGAGTGAAGTCATTGGCTGTAGTTGAATCTATGTTGATAATATAAATGAAATATAAACCAAAGGCAACCATGATGGTGAACAAAAGTTTAGTGAAATTATACAAGAAATTATAATTTAGGATTTTTAGCATTAGAAGTTTTGTATTGTTCATATATAATTTACCTGGAAATTTACAATTCTTATAACAAGTTCTGTGTTCTGTACCTGGCTGATGACAGTGATGAAACAGAAAAAAAAAGTAAAACATTGTGGCAGTAATACTTTTACAAGCATAAAGAGAAAGGTGGATAAACATGCAAATATAGTATTCAGAAAGTAATAATATTAAAATACAATATCAGAATAGAGACTATAATATAGTGTTGTTGTGTTGTTACTATTCATTCAGAACAAAAGAGCATTTTAATGTACTGATTACAACAATGCAAATATTTTCTATGCTGTGTATTTATCAACACACTTTTATCATTTTATTTTGAACTTCTTTTTAGTTTGCCTTTCTATAAAAGGGTGTTTCTTTACTTTTTTAAACTACTTATTATTACAATATGAGTGAAGTCATTGGCTCTCAATTTAACAAAATATTTATTAGCTGTTCTTAACTGTGCAATCAGTCTGATGGATGAGATTCAATTAGACAATTTGAGATAAAATAGACCATTTTCACTAGTGAGTAAATCATACAGGAAGGGACAGTCTGAGTGAGATTATCCACTCAGAGTAAGAGGGATTGATAGGAAGTGATAATTATGGAAAATCACTTCTGAGAAAGTTTTCTGATCAATCCTGTATGTCTAGCATGAAAGGGTAATCATGCATTTCCTTCACTCCATTGAATTATAATTCAAATGTGGCTATTTGAAATTTTCATTGATAATTATACTGGTTAAAAGAAAAATTTTCAATACTTCCATTTTTCAGATCCAGATTTTGAGGCTAGACCAGATCTTCCTTTGGGTATGTTTAAAGAATCACCAATTTTGCAATGAACAAATTTATGATTTTTTTTATATAATAAGTCATAATATAAGAAGCTTATATCGAATCTAATAGTTTACTAAACTAATGTAAAATTGAAATATGAACTCAGGGAAGGGAAATGTTATCAAAGTTTGTCTGTGGAGACTTATTTCTCATCAACAGAAATTATATTTATTTGAACTAATTTCAGTGGATGAAAAACCTCAACTAAACCTCAATGATCCTCCAATGGTCAGTACTGATAATGTGTATGAAATTGATGGAGATTCCTACTTCTTCTCCTACTTCATGGTTATTTGTGTTATGTTCATTTTGGGATATGTTGGATACCACAACAGACTGAAGGTAAAAATATGTTTCAATTCTCCTTCATTTGATAACTGATTGGAACAACTTTTTTTCAAAAAATTTGTTTAGTTTGGTATTCCAGAGTCACATTCCATTTCAATCTCATCTTTATTAATTTTTAAAATTCTGAAAACTACCAATCTGTTTTTTGCTCGTTAATTCTCATACCCTATATTATCTTTTGAAAACAGGTTATGGCTTTGGTTTTGGAAGGAAAAAGAAACAAGAGACAATACAGAGGCCGACGACCAAACTCTGCTAATTATCATAAACTTGATAGTAATCTAGAGGAGGCAATATCATCTAATGTCACAAAAAATTCAAGCAATGTGATTTATTGAATAACTTCTTATTATGCTTAGAACCTTATAGTTGGTACCTATTTATGTTAAATTATTAAAATTTTTTATTGTCCCTATCATTGGAATGAATTATTGTTCAACAAAATTTCAGTATGTAAAAATGTAAATATTATTAAATTTCCACTTGTCTACTTTTGCACAACTATTTTTTTTAGTTTTTATAATTATTCTGTAAAAAGTCACCAACATTATTGATGAAACATCAAACAAGATTGGAAACACATCTCTAAAAAGACTGATGTACCTATATCACACACACCTCTTGTATTATTGTTTTCTAAGGAATGAAAACATTTCACTCTCTAAAATAAAATGAGGTGTGCATTGCAATTATTCCTAATTTATGTATTGATAATATTAGTTTTCAGAGGAATTTTAATTTTTTATATGTCAAGGAAAGTAATTTATTTATTATTATTATTTTTATTTTAATTTACAAACTCAACAGGTTGCCCCAATTACAGAGTAGGAAGTATAGTAAGTATAGTAAGATAGACGTATATGTAGTCACTTAAAAAACATCTCACAGTTCATCATATATTCTAGATCTAAATCTATTCAAACTTAACGAGAAAATATCACAAGAATGAGATATACCATTGTATGTTTTACACATAGTATTTAAAGGACCAGCAGAGTGGATATTCGTTCGATGAGCATCTATATAAAATGTGTTTGTTACACGTGTAGAATATGCTGGTACATTGAAGTTGATTTGTGATAGAAGACAGATGTCATCCACATTGCCATGTATCAGTTTATGAAGAAACAGCATACTGGAGACTGTTCTTCGATTCTCAAGAGAAGACAAGTTGTATTTAAGTAAAAGTGACGCCCTTGAAACATCATTGTTGTAGTGCCCAGTTTCTTTGTAATGTAGAAATCGCAAGAACTTATTTTGAACTTAATTGAAGGTATTTCAAGGAAAGGAAAAATAAATGTTTTTGTACCACATCCAAATATTTTCATTTCACCTTATTTCAGTTCCAACACTGTTTTCAGATACAGAAAAAATCGGAAAATTAATCAACAATTTCGCACTTTTTAATTGTTTCTTATTAGAGGGTGATGCAGAAGAGGTTTGGTAGTTACATGATATCGGTTGTTTTTGTACACAATAACCCTCACTGGTCTTCTGAATGGTTTTCCAAAATGTGGTTTTCTATGGTGACCTGAAAACAACATTTATTTCTAGAAAATAATGATAGGTAGCAATCAGTAATAATGTCAATAATCCCTATGAGGCGCTATTTCATTGTAAACTTCTGGAATTGCCATGATGAAATAATGAAATAGAGCACACATTTTTGTTACCCAATATGAAGCCAAAGCAATATTTTGATTAGTTCTCAAGGCACTTCCCAAATTTTTCAACTGTGCAACATACCAAGAGAACTGTTTGGATTTCCAGTACCAGTTCCATTCAATGTTGGTTTTGATGCAACTGTCTTATTGTATATCAAATTGACAATTCCAGCATCTAATCCGGACTTTTCTTGAATCCAATCCAAATATTTGGACACGTCTGTGTACATACCCAGGAGACCTGGCAGAGCACAGCGAAATCCAAAGGACACTATCCCTAAAATTCGCCAGAAAAATATGTAATATTCCTTTAACTCAGTAAAACGGTAACGATTAGGACCCAATCCAGGAAAACATTCAAGTAGTCGGTTTCCCTGTGTTTTTATATGTTAATGAAGGTGCTGAATTCGATTCTGAATTTTGCAAACACCTGGAGCGTTCTGAAACAGCGAAATTTCCGCACTTTTTTCGTTTTTTTGCCCGTAACTCGGGAATCATACATATCGAAAAGACCGCCCTATAAAAAGTTGAAGTAGATAAAATTTCCTAGATAAAATTGTCCTTGCTCATGGATGTAGGACTGAAGGGTGCGGAGATAGAGCCAGTTGAAAGTTGGCCAAATTTGGGTACTTAAAAAAAAACGTTTTTCTACAAACGTCCTCTATATCTCAGTTATTACACTACACTGTTTTACCACTAACCAAACCGATTTTTTAACGCCTCGACACGTGTTTCGCTAACTATGTTAGCATCTTCAGGAGAAGATTAAAACTATATATCCTATTCTAGTGTGCTGCTTATATACTAGGTATATGTTCACCCAACTGTGAAAAATACTAACCGTCAAGTTAATGTTTGTCATGGTTGAGTTCACATGTTAATCTTACATTTTTATTTTACTAAACTATATAGAGGGCTATATGGAATAGGTCCATTATCCTTATTCATTACTCTATTACTATTCTTAAATATCTCTAAGCTTTCATATGCGTCTAGTTTTCTAATGTTATTAACTTGCTTGACTAATTTGAGGTTAGTAATATGTGTGTTATGATTGTGATCTGAACTAGACGCATATGAAAGCTTAGAGATATTTAAGAATAGTAATAGAGTATAATGAATAAGGATAATGGACCTATTCCATATAGCCCTCTATATATAGTTTAGTAATATAAAAATTTAAGATTAACATGTGAACTCAACCATGATGACAAACATTAACTTGACGGTTAGTATTTTTCACAGTTGGGTGAACATATACCTAGTATATAAGCAGCACACTAGAATAGGATATTTAGTTTTAATCTTCTCCTGAAGATGCTAACATAGTTAGCGAAACACGTGTCGAGGCGTTAAAAAATCGGTTTGGTTAGTGGTAAAACAGTGTAGTGTATTATCGTGCCAAAGGTTCCAGTCTTCGATATATCTGTTATTAGTCATGCGATTCCAAAACCAAATTTGGTGTGGTATGAATAACCATCAATATGATCAGTTCTACAGAGATGCACATTATTTTGGACAGTGCCGTGCGTTTTTATTGAATTAAAAAGGGGTCGATTTTTCGTAAAATCATATTAGGCATTTTTTTCAGAGGAAATCTAACCTCATATTATTGTTCCTCATGCTTCCGAACCCCAATATGCAAAAAATCACCTAATTCCGAATTGACAGGATTCTCTTCCTTTTTTTTCATTTTCAGTCTCGAATAAATAGTGACTTCAAATCAACTACGAATTTTGGAACGTTCAATGGTTCCGGTAGGTGGAAAATCATGATTTGGAAGGAGAAACGAGTTATACTTTTTTTATGTTGAACTCACCGTTTCCGAGTAAAACGTTCGCAAAAATGCTATTTAAATGTGCCAGTTTTTCTGAAACCCTTCATATTAGGCATCTTATGAGAATTCACATACGTGGGTTTGAAACCATGAAGAACAATATTATGAGGTCAGTTTTCCTGTGAAAAAATGCCTAATATGATTGAATGAAAAACTGACCCTTATTCATTTCAGTGAAAAAGCACGGCATTGCCTCTAAAATATATGTTTGCGTCTTTGAAGAACTGGTCATATTGATGATTATTCATACCGATACAAATTTGCTAAAGATCGCACGACTGATAGCTGAGATATAGAGGGGGGGGGGGAGGCGTTTGAAATGAGACACGCTGTATATCCGGGAAAAAATTAATTTATGAAAAGTGACATTTTATAACCTGCCAACAGAGATGAAATGCCAAACTTTTTTCCCGTCACAAAAAAAAGCATTTTTTTCGCGGCAAAAAGTAGCCTATATGTTCATCATGGATAATATCGGCTTCTAATGATGATAGAATTTTTCAAATCGGTACAGTAGAGTATAGGAGAATATACATTACAAACAATAGTTATTTGTTTAACTAGGCAGCAAAGTAGTAGATTGACTGCCGAGGCTGAATTCATAGCCGAGTGTAGCGAGGCTAGGAATCCAGCTAAGGCAGTCAATCTACTTTGCTGCCGAGTTGAACATATAATTTTTTTCTCCGATTGTTCATAATGATATAGGAGGATATTGTAATTGCAAATTATTACAATTCCCACAATCTCTTTATTTTTCCATTAAGATGAAATTTGATAGAAATCGCAGTTATCCGTGATAATTATAGTTTGACAATTCGTGAAAAAATATCCGTATATTCAAATTATTATGTAATGGACACTGGACAGTGATAGCGACCTGGAATTATACTTACACCTCCAGAAATAAGGGAGGTGGCAAAAATATAGAGTTGAATTTGTTGCCGGAGAAGTCTCGGATGGAATATGAAGGAAATTATAAACTATTCATGGATTATTAATTTTGCTGATACATATCAATCAGCAAAGTACCCACTTTGCTGCCTAGGCAGGGAAAGTAATACTTTGCTTATTGATATGTGTCAACAAAATTGATATTTGCTGCCGATCGAAGAAAAACAATCAAATCTTTCCTCTATAATATTACTATAGTGCTAGCGACGATGTTCAAATCACCCCGTAAATGAGAAGAACGCCTAGAGCGGCGTTGAAATGACGCAAAAAGCTGAAAATATTCAGCTTTTTGCATTGCAAGAAGCCATCGTCTGTGAAAATAGTGAAAATAGACTAATAATTGGAACATTCTGTAATATGGAAGTTATGATGTTTTCATGATTTTTTCGTGAATCCTCAGGATAGTAGATAGGTTCAATTCATTATTTTCTCGTTGAAGATTGATTTTTCTCTTCAAGTAGTGAATAAGGACCAATTTTCGTCACCGCCAGTTCTATCAATTCAATATTATTAATTAGGTATCTGATCAATATTATTGTTATGATTATTTACTTAATTTTGGGATGGAAAACAAATAACAAAACCAAGGCAACTGAGCCATAAAGAGTCACGTTGATTTTTTGTTGTTGTGAATGACATTTGCATTGGTTTAGTTCACGTTTAATTTCAGATTCTGCTTCACCAATCAGAATACGAAACGTAAAAAGTTTGGTTGTGAACGCCGCTTAAGGAATGCCTTATCACAAGCGGCCTCGACGACTCATGGGTATTCGAAATCATCGTGTGATCGGAGATTGAAGCGAGTTTAGTCTTAAGCATCGTAGCATCAGAACGAATCACTTGTCGATGTTGTATTTTTATAGACGGTCATCTTCGTACAAGCCGTCCTGAGTGAATAAGAATGTGTTTCAGTGTTGAAATTGTGTCTATCTACGATGCCTCTATATTTTGAATCTTATATAATAGATTAAAGAAACTTTAACAATGTGATAAACGGCCACGTTTATGAATACTTGTCAAAATAAGACCACAACGTGATCGGTCAAATGTCATTATTTTGAATACAAAATAGGGCACCAGCCTACACACTATGGTTCCAAATAATTTGGTTTCTATTTTTTTACGCGAAAACGATGCGTCGTGCGGCAAAAATTCAGGGGGTAAAATTGTTGTAAAACAAACAAGCATGCAAATATGCGCGGCCGCCACTGGTAGAGATATTGAAAAATATAAATCAAAAAGTACCTATTGGTGCTCAGTGAGGTGCATCTCAAATTTTATGAAAATATCTAGAACAGTATTGGAGTTATGATAAGAGAACGTTTTTTTTTCTTAAAATTTCATACCCTATCGCTGAAAAATTAAAAGGTTTAGGGCATACAGTGTCATTCATAAAAATGGCACCATATGGGAAAAACTTAAAAAAAATTAATCGCAGATTATCGACGTGAAATTTGAAGTATTTAATAGGAATGACGCCTGCGTTGCAGGCATTTTTTTGCAGGCATCTTCATCATTCTTTGAAGTAATCAATCATCTGTCTGTGCTTTGATTTTCAAAAATTGCGAATTTAGTGGTTGTTTATTAATTTACCTAACCGGCAAGTCGAATGGAATATGAAAGGACTTGCAGTTCTTTCTCGGAGACGGTGTTATTGGCTTATTTTTTGGAACTATAGCCCAACAGAAGCCATCAACAGTGTATATACCGGGTGGCTACGGAAGTATTGCCTACGGAATATCTCAGTTATTGAATGAAGTGGGTTTGTGAAATTTGGAGCGTCGATAAAATGACATAAGAGCTAAAATTTGAGCATATTGACATGTCGAAGTTAACTTCTGGTCTGACCGGAAGGAACATCAACTTTCTTATTTTAAATGGAAACCCTATTTTTTTTTCTTCTCGCTTTATTCAGCATTCAATTCCCTTTCTAATGACATATCACAAGTTGGTATCTAACCAGAAACTAGGTCAGAAAAAAATTATTATTGAAATTCACCGAGTAGGCCGTGGAAGCAAAATGAAAGCCAAAAATTGAAAAGTTGGCTATGGAAACCATACGTCACTTGATAACAGTTGCTACTACTGTGATATTTTATTTTCATTCGTCGGCGTTATAAAAAGCCGCCAAAAAAATATTGGAAAAATTAGGAAAAAAACAATACTCTGTAGGTCCATAACTTAAATAGGAACATACAACTTTTTCACAGTAGTAGCAACTGTTATCAAGTGACGTATGGTTTCCATAGCCAACTTTTCAATTTTTGGCTTTCATTTTGCTTCCACGGCCTACTCGGTGAATTTCAATAATAATTTTTTTCTGATCTAGTTTCTGGTTAGATACCAACTTGTGATATGTCATTAGAAAGGGAATTTAATGCTGAATAAAGCGAAAAGAAAAAAAAATAGGGTTTTCATTTAAAATAAGAAAGTTGATGTTACTTCCGGTCAGACGAAGTTAACTTCGACATGTAAATATGCTCAAATTCTAGCTCTTATGTCATTATATCAACGCTCCAAATTTCACAAACCTACTTCATACAATAACTGAGATATTCCGTAGGCAATACTTCCGTAGCCACCCGGTATATATATATGTGATATATATCCGGCGGGAAAACAGTACTCACTTTTTTCTCGCCACATAAAAAATATTATTAAAAGTGTTTCCCATATGATGCCGACTTTATGAATGACACTGTAGATGAGAAAAATTACAAACCTAATAAAACATAATCTCCATCTGAATTCATCGATTGTAGTGGGCCTCCACTGTCTCCCTGTAATGAAAAAAAAAAACATACTGAGAATAGTTAATGTAAAAAATAATATTTAGCACTTGCAAAAAAACATTGACAATTTCCACCAGTAGTAAAAACGATAAATCACATATCGTCGACAAAAATTGCACTTTCCATTCAATAAATCATTTCTTGGATGTTTGCTCCATTGAGGATTATGAAGTTTAAATACAAAAATTCTATGTAGTTTACATACAATGCGCGAAGTATGATTTCTTTTTCTCAAATAGAATCATCGCTCAAATACCTAGCTTTCAATTTCATATATTTCTAGAATTTTTCGTTCGATTTCGAGTTGCTAAAATCATCAATAATGTCACGGTAATTTTCAAGCGGCTAGAAATTTACCGCGAGTAAAAACTGACGTCACGATTTCGTAAAGTATTAGGGGCAGACCATAGCAATTGGACGCACGAAAATTGGACGCGGATAATTGGTCGCGGCGACAATTGGACGCCGTGACAATTGGACGCCGCGACAATTGGACGCCGCGACAATTGGACGCGGCGACAATTGAGCGCATGCGAAAATAGAAATGATTTTATTATTCCCCATGAAATTCATTGTATAAAATATACAATACATGGTTCATATCTATAATTATAACAAATACCTAACCTAACCTAACCTAACCTACATATTTAATAATAAAAACAGAGGTTTGTCAAAATAAGAAAAATACATGATGTAGACTTTTGATTAAATGATTAGCGTTTTTGGTAGTAGGTAAAATATTGTACTATATTCGTATCGTAAATTCATTGCTCGCACAAGTCTTTCGAAGACTTCTGAGGGTTGCTCGTAAGGGGGCAACCGAATGACGGATAGAACAATTTTAGAACAATTTTAGAACAATTTTAGAACAATATAACGATATCAGATAGGAACGTTGTCAAACGAGGCCATAGGTATTTGTTATAATTATAGATATAAGCCCTGTATTGCATATTCTATACAATAAATTATTTTTATTTTCTCATGCGTCCAATTGTCGCCACGTCCAATAGTCGCCGCGTCCAATTATCGCCGCGTCCAATTATCGCCGCGTCCAATTGTCACCGCGTCCAATTGTCGCCGCGTCCAATTAACTGCGACCAATAGTCGTGCGTCCAATTTTCCACGTCCAATTGACGCGACACCTGTTGAAATACAATTGGGAAATTTAGAAATATTAGTTATTGAATAATTCATTAATTCTCAATCATGTATCAATAATATTCCTTATTATCAATAAAAAATCAATCGTCTGAAAATGTTCCCTCATATGTGTTGTGACCTGTGTTTTGATTATCGTATCTCTCAAGATCCGAGATCCCCATGTTTAAGCTCGAATTACGGGCACTCTGTATAAAAGAAAATATTGAAATTTGTTTTGGACTTTTGGAGGTTAGAAGTTCTTGGGAAAGTCCCCCTTGCCGTTTACCTGACAGGTGTCGATGCCGCCCTGTATGTACCCGGCGCAGAAGGCGTTTTTAATGGCCTTTGCGTCGTTTCCCGTACTGTTGATCATGCGCACGCACTCGCTGTTGTTGTACACCAACAGCCTGGCTTCGTGGACGGTGCAAGGCATCGCGCCGTGGTACTTCAGTGTACCGAGGCCTGGGACGGTACCGTCCGGCGGCATCTTGTTGATTTCTAAAAAAAATAAAATGGAATCGACTACAAGAAGAAAAAATTGAATCGAAAATAGACCATTTTACGCAGAATGTGACCCAAGTTAGAATTTAGTTAGAACTAGGGTCCCTTCTTGATGCAAACTGACGTATTTGTCATCTTAACAGGCTACCGTTGATTTAATATATCAATCAACGAGGCTACGGACAGATCCTCGTCTCCTCTCACTCTAAAGTATTTGTAAAACAGTTATGGTTCCATCCTTTATTCAATTCTGGAGATGTGTTGCGTGCAAGAACTGTCAAATGAAGATATATTTGAGATCACGTGAAGATATCGATTGGATCAATGACACAATTATTCAAGAAATAAAAATTAGAAATTCCAAATTTGATAGACATAAACAAAATTTTGGTAATCAAGAACTTTTTGATGAATACAAAATACAGAGGAATAAAGTAAATGCTCTGATAAAACGAGCGAAAGCGCAACATATTAATAGAAAATTTGAAAATTCTGAAGGTAATCAAAGAAAACTTTGGGATACGATAAACTATTGTTTGAGAGGTTCCACAAAATCAAACAGATATAGTGATATTGAATCGATAAAAATTAATGGTAATATTGTCAATAATGATCTAGAAATAGCAAACATTATGAATTATCATTTTTCGAATATTGGTGAGAATATAGCAGAGGAAATAAAATCGTATTATAATAATCTTCCACGTCAAAATGTCTGTCCACAATATAATGATTCCACAATGCTTCTGTTTCCCACTGATGAAAGCGAAATCATTTCTATTATTCATGATTTAAAAAAGACATGTCCTGATCCAGAAGGTTTGATTACTAAAGACATATTTGAATTGAGACACATTTTAGCTACACCAATATCAAAATTAATCAATGAATCTTTCATAAAAGAAAGTTTCCCACACGAATTGAAACATGCATCAGTAAGAGCTATTTACAAAAATGGAAATGCTCAGGATCCAACTAACTATAGACCAATAGCTTTAATAAGCATATTTTCTAAAATTTTTGAAAAAATTCTCAAGGAACGCATTGTAGAATTCATCAACAAAAAATATAGCTTCGATTCTAATCAATTTGGTTTTCAAGAAAACAGTGGAACACAAGCAGCAGTATTACAAGTGATAGAATCAATCCAGAGAGGACTTGATTCAGGAAATTATGTGGTAGCTGTTTTCATTGATCTCAAAAAGGCTTTTGACACAGTTGATCATACAACACTTTTAGAAAACTTAGAAACAATGGGACTCAGAGGCACTGTGAGAAATATTTTGAATTCATATCTTGAAAATAGGACAATCAATACAAAATCAACCAACTCTGTGTCAAATAAACTATTAATCAATAAGGGTGTCCCACAGGGCTCTGTTTTAGGACCTATACTATATTTACTTTATGTTCAAAATATCAGTGAAATTGGTCTCACGAGTAAATATACCATGTATGCAGATGATACAGTACTTTTATATGAAAGCAAGAATCCTTCAAATTTAGAAAATATGATAAATGAAGACTTGAAAATATTTGAAAAATGGCTCCACTCTAACCTTTTATCGATAAATACTAAAAAAACAGAATATTTGATTTTTCACCAAAAAAATAAACAAAAAATTTACCTCAACCTTAAAATGAAAAATGAACTCTTAAAACAAACTGACCAGATAAAATATCTTGGAATTTGGTTTGATGACAGGTTGAAGTGGGACAAACATATTGATGTTCTGACAAAAAAAATATCTCCAATTATTGGTGCATTGAGAAGATGTCCCAAACTTGATATAAAAATTGCAAACATGATTCTCTACTCTCATATACTGAGTCGTATCAACTATTTAATAAATGTTTGGGGAACTTGTTCAAAGAACAATTTCAATAAAATATCAACATTATATAGAAAATCGTTAAAAGTATTGTATCGTCTCCCATTTGATACACCAACCAATCAATTGTTTGAAATAACAAATACGTATTCTTTAGATGAAATATATAGAATTGAAACTCTCAAAATATCATATAATATCATAAATAAAAAATTGAAGTCGAATTTTATGTTGATACGGAATTCTGAAATTCATAATCATGAAACAAGACAACTTGTTTCATCTTGACGCCGCTAGCTCCATAAAAATTGCAGAAACATAGGTTCATTCAAAAATGAAGTGAAAAAATTGATTATTTCTGAGCGAACTGGATAAAATTGAACATGCCATTTTTTTTTTTTTTTTTTTACAAATATTATTCTTTGTTTGTCAATTTACAGTTGTTGATATATTTTGTATAATGATATGTTCACCTATAGGTATATAATTATGTACTTCCTTATACCAGAGCATTTTCTGTCTGGAAGTTATTTGTTCAATAAATAAATAAATAAATAAAATAAATTATCGATACTTCTGCAGTATCTCAGGTCAATTCACCTCGGCCGAATATGGCTCAACTGCCTTCGCCAATTTTTTAAATCCCAACAGATTTTTAGGAATTCCTGAAAAAGTAGTGAACCATTTTCCGGGTTATCTTGAACCGTTTTCCCCAATAATATTTCTTTCACTTACCGTATTGTGGTAAGCAAATAGGCATATAGGCACTCGTATCTCCCTGTAGGGTCAATAAGCTCAAATCGTAATAAGGCCTATTCTTGTAATATCCTTCGTGAATGTAAACTTTTTCGATAGTGAATTCCCTCTGAGTCGACTCGGTGGTACAAATATTATAGATGCCTAGTTTAACGGTGTAAATTGATTCCAGTCTCAAAAATCCTTTACTGAAAAAAAGAAAAGAGTGAAACAGCTATTTGTATAACAATTGAGGAATGTGGTACGCATCGGGCAGTAATTGAAGGGAGGATGCACTTTACCCCTATGTTATACATATTATATGATTTTTCCGCCTCCCTCAAATACCAAGTCATTTTAAAATCCTTTCAATTCTGAGAGCAGCGCCACTCTCTGGATACAAATTGTTGCCATGCAAGGGTTTCGTTGTCCCTAACTTTTTAGGCTCATTTTTCATTTTGAGTGAATGACAAAATTAGTACATTATGTTACTGTCGTCTCACATTTTCCAAATTTGATTATGTTTGTTCTAAAAAAAAATCGCAAAATAACGTGTTTTTTGATGATGCGAATTTTCGAAAACGTCTCGAGTTAATAGTCTAATATGAATAATGGATATCGAGAAGGCCGTTTCTGAATATACTGAATCGAATGGGCCATGGTTTTAGTCACCATTTTTGTTTTTTTTACTGAATTGAGATTTTGTCCTATTTTCTTATCATCCTGTATATTCCAAAAAAGTGCTTTTTTCGTCTTTCATTGTCCTCCACAAAACATGAGAATAGTTCTTCCGAATAGTCAGCTCAAGTGGAGTTCTAGAGAAAAAAATCAAGAAATGCAAGACTTTCGAAAAAAAATCATTCTTCCAGAAGCTTTGCGATTTCTGAGGAAGCTGAAAATGGAAAATTGCTCAATTTGTTCAGGTTCAGAAGGTATAGTTTATGTTTATGCAAAGTCTGTTGAAAAAACACATCACCGCAAGCCGTCGGTCCCTTAGAAAGTTCAAAGAGTGCGGCCCGACATTCGTTTAATGATCTGTGCAACTGACTTTGCATAAACTGAACTGGGCGTCAATTGAAACGTTAATAGTGAAATTTGGCATCAAGTTTCACTTCTCGTAATTTCTAAAATATTGAACGAATTTTGAATTGCCGCCCAGATTCTGAATCTCTTTTTCATCGTCTTTCGAACCGTTCCTTACAGCTTCTTCTGAATTGATCAGGACCCGTGATACAGGGTGAAACAAAGTTTCGTGCATTTTGAAAAAAAATGCTCTGCCCCCCCATTTTGTCAGAAGACCACAATGCTAATATTTTATTCGGGCATTTCATAAATAGCAACCATACCTCGGGACGTTTTCGAGTTTCTGCCAAAAACTACTGTGGTTTCCGAAAAAAAATTTTTTTTTGCATTTTTTTTAAATGGACTAATTTTAGAGAAGTTCCATAAATGGATGCTTTTATGCATTTCAGGAAATCGTTGGAGCAGATATGTATACCAGGTTACTCAAAAACAATCAATAATTTATTACTTCGCAGTCTATGATGAAAGTTTTCTACCTTAGTGAGCAGTAAATCAACACATCTCATCAACAAATACAAACAAGGATACCTTGTTTTTATAACAGCGTATTGTTGAAACAATGTAGGTATGCATAGAGGTTATATCAATTGCCAATTTTCATGAAAACGTCAGTGTAATTCGGATCCTAAATAATTTAAAGATGCCTTGTTCAAATCGGGTAAAAATGGAAAATATCATTAGGTAAGATCACCAAAGTGATATAAACTATAATTCAGTACAGATAATTATTATTTCAGGTTACGACGATTAGGATATACACTCATTTAAGTACCATTTTCAATAAGTCAGTCATGACAATAAAGAGACTGATTCATCGTTTTGGTGATACAGGTAATTAGTCCATTAAAAAAAAATGCTAAAAAAGTTTTTTTTTCGGAAACCACAGGTATGGTTGCTATTTATGAAATGCCTGAATAAAATATGAGCATCGTGGTCTTCCGACAAAATGGGGGGGGCAGAGACATTTTTTTCAAAATGCACGTAACTTTGTTTCACCCTGTATCATTGATCCTGATCAATTTAGAAGAAGCTGTAAGGAACGGTTCGAAAGACGATGAAAAAGGCATTCAGAATCTGGGCGGCAATTCAAAATTCGTTCAATATTTTAGAAATTACAAGAAGTCAAACTTGATGCCAAATTTCACTATTAACGTTTCAATTGACGCCCAGTTATATATGAGTTTAAGAAAGCCTGTAACCGAACATAAGTGATTTTCCGTGAACCATTTGAACGGAACTTGCACTTCACAATGTATTGAATGTATGAATACAATATTGAACTTCAGTGACGCTGTCGCTGGCCCGTCCACTAGTCAGCAGCTGTTACCAGTGAAGCCTTCCGAAATGACCTCTTCCAGCCAAGTTCCGATGGCCACGGTTGCTGACAAAGCAATGGAAAACCGTAATATTACTTCATTAGTGAAAACTTTAGCTTCTGCATTTAATTTGCAGAATGCAACAAATTGCACGTTTAATGTTAATATTAATAATAATTGATTTGCGAACTATGTATTCAATAATAAATGTTTCTTCATGTTAACACTTGGGTTTTTTCCGCACGCTAGTAGAAAAAATAGTGTACCTAACACGTGCGTAAAGTGACTTTTCCGCACGCGATTGCTGGCCATCTGCAATCGCGTGCGGAAAAATGTCACTTTCCGCACTTGTTACACTGAGGAAAATTTCTAGAAACTCTAATAGCATAGGGGACAAGCGAGCTATCACTTGTGATTATAAAGTCGACTTTACTGATTATCACCCACCTGCGATTATTAGATAGAGAACCTTGCTGCCACTAGCGAGTGCATCTGTATATATATTGCTATAAGACGATGTTTCTGTAGTAGGTATCTGACTTTGCTACCGCTAGTGAGTGCATCTAATAATGGGAATAGGGCAATGTTATAATCGTAGGTAGGGAACTTTGCTACTCTTGATGGGTGATCATATAGATAGTTGCAAAACCTTCTTGCTGTAATTATTCAGTTATTTTCCAGGATTGTTGTCACCAAAAAAGGTGAAATTTTGACTGATATCCAATTTCACTTTCCATAATTATTTCCACCCTGATGTTTGGTATGAATAGTTATTTATTATACAAGGGAAAAAAGTAGTAGATTTTAGCTACAGGTTGTGTTGGCTCCCGACGCGTAGCGGAGGGAGACAAAAAACCGTGAGCTAAAATCTAATATTTTTCCCGTGTATAATACACTATTTTTTCTGTGACAGAAGAAAGGACGAATCAATATTGAGAAGATATTACATTATTTCGAAATCTGAAAATTATCGACGTGAAATTTCAAGTTTTTAACAGTAGAGACACCTGCGTTTTATAGGCATCTTTATCATTCTTTTGAAGTAATCAAATATCTGATGTCACTTCTGTCAGTTCAATTCTGTGATTTGATTTTAAAAAATTGCGAATTCAGTAGTTGTTTAGTAATATACGAAACCGCGAAGTCGAATGGAAGATGAAAGGGCTTGCAGTTCTTTCTCGGAGACGGTATTATTGACTTATTTTTCGGAACTATAGCACAACAAAAGCCATTAACAGAGTATATATATGTGATATATATCCGGGAAAAAAGTACTCACTTTTTTCCCACGGGAAAAAAGTAATTTATGAAAAGTGACATTTTATGACCTGCCAACAGAGATAAAATGCCAAACTTTTTTCCCGTCACAGAAAAATAGCAATTTATTGATTCCTAAAGAAAATTTCGGACCAATGATCTTTGAAATTCAATAGATCAGTTGATTCATGCACCCTCAGGAAAAACAAAAGGTTTTTGAGTAATTTATGGAAAAAATAATATTTCTGAAACTTTCTGAAACCATTGTATTTCGAAAACTAGGCAAGTTATTATAGATGCGTACAGGAAAACAAAATGTTACCAGTAAAAACATTCAAATAATTTCATAACCTGAACACTTTTACTCACAATAAGCTCTGGAACATATTTGACAATTTTAAAGTTTCATGGTACCAAAAAGAAGGAAATGTTGAATGTAAAATATTTGAATTTCAGTGGAAATACCTCGAAAAAACTAACCATTATCATTCCATCGTTCCTGGTAATAAATGAAGCACTCAGATCTACGAAAGCACTGAAAGGGACACAAGAGATTTTTTTATATGTTAGAAAATATTTCCATTTCATATTTGAATTCAGATTCAGATTTTAAATAATGAATTGAATTCAAATGGGGAAGTATCCGTAACTGTCGTATCGTCGAGATTGTCGTCCTGTACATGGGTTTGCATCAAGAGCCCAACTGTGAATGATTGATCAAGCAAGATATGTCTGACAAATGCTTATATAGAGGGACAAATCAGCAAAATATCGAATAACGATAAGTATGCGCTAAATATCCCCAAGTAGGTTCGTCAAATATTATTTTCGTGGCAGACTGACAGTTGTATTATTGGTAGTGAGTGCAGTTCTTTGCGATGAACGTCGCAGCCACAAACATATAACTCACTAGTAGTAGTTCTAGTTCAACTAGACGATTATAAAAAAATCATGCTGTCCCAGAGTGGCTGCCTGGTAGCGACAGCAGTATACCTTCCTGTGGCAGGAAATTCACTTTCAGCAAAGTCGTTATCGCTATCAGAACATTTCAAGGTGCTGCTTCAATTCGAAAATGGTATAACGGTAATATGATTTCTTGTAATGGTAGCAAGAAATATCTCAGCAAAAACTGTAATAGTACAATCCTCCTCAGTGTAGCAAAACTACTATTTTTTCATATATAATACCACAAGTGATAATATTTTGCCGGAAATATTCGGTGATTGTTACGACAGCTTGTTGCCTAGTAATTTCGTGAATGACATTGTTATTAAAACTACGAGCCGTAGGCGAGTAGTTTTGGATCAATGTCATGAGCGAAATTAGAGCAGCAAGCTGGAGTATGTCAATCGACGAATATTTCCAGGAAAAATAGTATCACGCGTTGTATTCTTATGACTATTTCATGATTGAATGAGACAATATATATAAGAAATAGGATACATAATTTAAGTATATTCCAACTCAAACTGCGACGAAGAACATAATGATAGTAATGAAATACAGAATTCAATTTTTTAGAAATTAACTACCTACTTATAGTTATTCACAAAGTGGAACGTACAATTTTGATGAATAGTATTTTGTTTATTATCTTGGAGATGGTTGCTCTCAAAAGAGTGTATATACATTTGCCAGCCAGAATGAAATTGTGTCGCCTTTCGTACAAAATGTCTCACTAACGCGAATTATAAGTAAATAAAATGAAGTAGGTACTTAGGTTATTGTCTCTTGTGTCGGATTTGAATACAAAGCAATCTTGACCAGACACGATGTCAAAATTTTATCGCTGATAAACGAGGTTTGTTGGTCACGTGTGGGTCAATTCGGCTTCTGTATTGGTAGAGCAAGTCCGATAAAATTTAATAAACAAAAAATATCGCTAGAATACAGAAGAAACCGTGGAAATGGTCGATTCTGATTGGTTCTCGAGATCAAGAGTGGAATAGTCTACAGAATTCTGTAGCATTCAAGTTTCGCGCTCTTTTTGCTTGCACCTTCTTGTATAATGTCTATTCGCTGCACTCACCTAGCTAAATCGAGAAATTCTTTGTAACAATGAGCGGCAGTGAGAACGGTTTTTGGACCGATGAGGGCCGCCCCGCAGGACACCGTGTCGTACCTGATCAGGGCGGCGTACCACGGGTACCGATAGTACCCGATGTCGTACCCGGCGACGATCCTGTCTTCTTCCAGGCGAAATTCAGTGCCAATCGGTCTGCCACAAACATGGTCTGGAAGGAAAAGCTATTATTAAATACCCTAACAACACAGAAATGTCCTAGGTACGTCCCTTTTTTGTCCCACGGTACAAGGACATGATTGGGGCATCCAGGGTGATTCAGCTAGGTGTAAATTTTAGTGGACTGTATATTTTCGGTTGTGGATTCAATATTATCGTATCACCTAGATTCAAATACTGTCTGTAGGTTAATCGAGGAGGTGGTATATTCATTTTACTTGATTATTTGGGATTTTCTGTCCTCGTTTCTATAAAATAAAAATATTCGTATTATTTCGATATACTTGTAGTGGGACAAATCAGATGATTTGCCCCAAAATGTCACTGCGTTTAACAAAATTTTTTATCAGGGAGTCTAAAAGAAAAATCCAGTAGATTGTCAGTGACAATTTGTTTGAAAAAATGTTTGAAGGAAATAAATATAGATATACTATTGAAAAAATATCGAATTTGTACTTATCTTTGGACGTTTCGGGAGCGAATCTGCTCCCATTCTCAACATATAAATGCAAAATATTTTTCTTCGATAGTTCTGCTGCTTATAGTTTGACACTTATCAGTGTCATACTGATGTTGGCATATGAATGAGTGATTTTGTGGATTTTAGTCTACAAATGAGTTACTGGAATCTTGAATCTACCATTTTCATGTTCAGTTTTCAGTAGTGAATATCATGTTCTATCTATATCAACTGAACAGGAAGCAATTCTATTGTCTCCGTTTAGAAGAATGCAAAAATCAAGGAATCCGCTTGCATTTTTATGCTCTCATAAATAATAATAATAATAATAATAATAATAATATAACCCCTGAGAGCTCGATGTATTTTCATCACTTCGTCCAACTTCCGCAGAGTGGCGAGTGCGGAAACGAAATGGGCGTAGGAAATGCACTTTCCAACGAGTTTTGCACACTATTATCCCCACGACCACAAATAATATGTCATGAGTGTTTATATAAGACCAGAGTAGGGATCATGTTTCTGATCATATTCGATCACATGAAGGTGATATCATTATCATTATTATTTAATTTTACTTCAATATTTAAATGACATCATTAGTTCAACGTTAACTTAACATTAACTTGATATGAACTTAACATCAACTCAACATTAACTTAACATCAACTTAACATCCACTCAACATCAACTTAACATCCACTTAACATCAACTTAACATAAATTCAACAGTTTTTTAACATTAACTTGAAATTATCTCATCATTAACTCAACATCAACTCAAAATCAACTCAACATCAACTCAACATCAACTCAACATCAACTCAACATTAACTTGAAATTAACCTAACATTGACTTAACATCAACTTAACATTAACTCAACAATTATTCAACATTTACTCAACATCAACTCAAAATTAACTTGACATTACCTTAGAATCAAATTAACATCAACTCAATATCAAATTGACATTAACTGCACATTAATCACTAAATTGCCTTGATTTCAACTTTTCATCAACTTAATATTACGTCAACATCAACTACAATAACTCATGTTAAATCGACACTAACTTTCCATTAATTTGACCATAACTTAACTTACCATAATTCAGCATAATAATCATTCATTGGTACAACATAATCTATAGACCCTGTTACTGTGCGATTTTAGAATATTTCCACCCATGTGAGTTTTACTTTCGAACTTTCTAACTGTTATATCTTGTCATAGTGAAACGAGTCAGTTTCTCAATAACAAATCAATGTGTTTTGTGCTGTTTTCATAGGTGGTCGTAGGAAAAAGTACTTTTTTCTCCGATTGGCAGCAAATAATAATTTTGCTGACACATATCAATCAGCAAAGTATTACTTTTCCTGCCTAGGCAGCAAAATGGGTACTTTGCTGCCTAGGCAGCAAAGTGGTTACTTTGCTGATTGATATGTATCAGCAAAATTAATAATCCATAAATCGTTTATAATTTCCTTCATATTTCATCCGAGACTTCTCCGGCAACAAATTAAACTCTATATTTTTTGCCATCTTCCTTATTTCTGGAGGTTTAAGTACTTCCAGGTCGCTATCACTGTCCATTATATAATAATTTAAATATACCGATATTTTTTCGCACAACTGTCAGAAATTTCATGAATTGTCAAACTATAATTATTATGGACATTTCCATAGCAACCAACCATTCCAGCAATTGCGATTTCTTTTAAATTTTATTTTAGTTGAACACTATAGGAAAAATAAAGAGATATATATCATTATGAACAATCGGAGACAAAATTATATGTTCAACTCGGCAGCAATAAAGTCGATTGACTGCCGAGGCTGAATTCATAGCCGAGAGTAGCGAGGCTAGGAATCCAGCTAAGTTAAGTTAAACACAGTATACTATGTTCACATCAACTCACCTTGACTTCTTCTATTCGCCATCAGGCTATGGCTGGTTAGTCATGACTCACCCTGTTACAACATGCATTTTGTTACCTAGTCCTCAAAATGTCAGACAAGCAGTCTAGTACCTACTCATTGATTATAAGACGCATATTATTGTGTTTAATAGTATATTTTGTAACGAGTGTTATAAACGTCCTTTTAGTAACAAGTATTTTGAGCACGAGCGGAGCAGAGCGGAGCGAGTGTTTAATAAACAAGTGTCTAGAAGAGTTTATAAACGCGTTACATACTATGCTTTTTCTACGAACTTCGAAAATTACACTAACATACCTGCTATTCCTGCTAACCTACAAAATAATTCGAAAGGAATGGGAATTGAGAACATAATACATGCAACTGCATGCAACCACCGAGACACGTATAAGTGATATTGGTTGTAGATGTGTCCAGTCCATTGCTCACGAATCTTTGTTTCACGTTTATTGTCATGCTTAGCGCAGAATAAATAAATTGTTCTCAGAGATGGATGCTGCTTCATTTTTACACTTCTTGGAGATATGCAAGTACCATAACATTCTCTTCAATTTCACTTTCGTCTACATTTCTCATATATTTTGAATGAATAATTCTGATACAAAATTTGAAAATAACAGTTGACAGTCAGACATATGTCTCAAATTACTGAAGCTGTGTTTAATGAACTGTGTTGCCATGGTAATGTATTTAAGAAATCGTGTTGCCATGGTCACGTGTTTAATATTTCGAATAAATCACAGATCGTCAATTCGTGATTAATCGATCATTTAGCGTGGTACATATCCGTACGATAATTGCCATTTTAGTTATGTGAGTAGAAAAATGCCATTTCAGTTATGTGAGTAGAAAAAAGCAGTTATACGTTACCTCTTTTTGAATCATTCGAAAATACCGGACCGAAAATCACAACCAGAATTACAGCCGTAAAGGAAACCTCCATATTAAACCGACCCGCTAATTTCGCACTATCTTTCGACCTCAACCGTTATCAGAAATATTCCTTGTATTCATGTCGCTACGTATGACATATTTCCATCGTTCGCTGAATTATTTTACTGAAAACCTCTATATACCTTGTCATTAATTTCCTTTATCTGTGTTTTGTTTCGAGTCCTCCAACACACTCCAACTATCATAATTATTCGAGCAGATTGCCAGAAGTAAGAAGTTTGGAGTGTGTTGAGACAGGTGAGCATTTCCACTGATCATTTTTCCCTAGAACGAAGCAATCAAGAAAGATTCTTGGTCCATCCTATTTTCATTTAGGGCCTTACATAATGAAGGGTGTCCCTCCGGGAACTGCATCGATCAATTTAAAGAAAACCATAGGTGGTCCGAATTTGATAATTTGGGAGTTCACTATTGTTGATAAGTGCTATCCGGCTGAAATATTTTGAAGATTGTGGCACTTCCGGTTGTACCGGAAATGGATCCCAACTTTATTTCAAATGGGACACCCTGTATAATATCAAGGTTTCAGATTTTACGCATGATTCTGAACATGTTTCATGTATAATGTGCTATACCCAAGTCGAACCGTTTTCGAAATATTTCAAATTGCGTTAGCAGACCGAAAACAATTTTTTTTTCTGTGAGGGGAAAAAGTTTGGCATTTCATCTCTGTTGGCAGGTTATAAAATGTCACTTTTCATAAATTACTTTTTACCCGTGGGAAAAAAGTGAGTACTTTTTTCCCGGATATATATCACATATATATATATATATATATATACACTGTTTATTGCTTTTGTTGTGCTATAGTTCCGAAAAATGATTCAATAATACCGTCTCCGAGAAAGATTTGCAAGTCCTTTTATCTTCCACTCGACTTCGCGGTTACGTATATTACTAAGCAACCACTAAATTCGCAATTTTTTGAAATTAAATCACAGAATTATACTGACAGAAGTGACATCAGATCTACAAAAGAATTATAAAGATGCCTACAACAACTGTGCTACAACGCAGGTGTCCCTATGAAAACTCAAAATTTCCCGTCGATAATTTTCAGATTTCAAAATAATGTAATATCTTCTCAATATTGATTCGTACTTTCTTCTGTCAGAGAAAAAAATAGTGTATTATACACGTGGAAAATATTAGATTTTAGCTCACGGTTTTTTGTCTCCCTCCGCTACGCGTCGGGAGACAACACAACCTGGATCTAAAATCTACTACTTTTTCCCTTGTATAATAAATAACTAATTTTATTTCTGGACATGATCATTTATTTCCGATTGTGTATCGATTCATTCGTAGGAGAGGTCCCAGTTCAGTAGGATTTCGATATCAATTCGATTACAGGTATACAGGGCGTTCACCAGAAAATGATATAGATCTGGTTGAAAATATAATAATTGTAAGTCACTTTTTTCAAATGGAAACCCCCCAATTTTATATTCTCATTCGATTCGGCATCAAAAATGAAGCTATGCCTACACTCAACAGTTTTCGAAATATTGGCGAATTAACATGTCTCAGTACCAGAAAATCTCGTAGTTTGTTTTATCGCTTGGAGCGGACGAAAGGAAATCCCTATAATGTTCAAAGAACATCGTGCGTTCCTAGCTGGTTCCTAGGGAGGATAGGGACAGGAGGTAGGTATTGGAATTTTTTTCGAACTTCTGGAGATTATAATGTTGTTGGGAATACTTCCCCAGGCAATGAATTCCAGAGCCTAGCCGTTCTATGGATGAAGGAGTTTTGATAAAGTGCTGTTCGACATCTTTCGAGGTTGACAACGAAAGGATGTGCTGACTGGGCTTGTCTAGTTTGTCTGACTGGTATTGCTAGTGAAGGGATGATAGCTGAGATTTCCGAAAAACCTTTTCCCGTGGAACTATCGATAGAAAAGTGAAAGGTCGCCGACCTTTCTACGGTGTTCCAATGATGTCAAAGAGTGAGTGAGTGTGGCGTCACCCACCAGGCGAATGGCTCTTCTCTGGATGGAATCTAAGAGCATCAGCGTATGTTTTGGTGCTGAACCCCATATGTGGGAACAGTATCTGCGCTTTGTAGATCATGAGAAGCTGTTGAGGTGTAAAGTAGCTTTTCGCACGAAACAAGAATCCGCGTTTTTGTGAAGCAGCTTTTGCGATGGATCTGACATGATTATCCCATGAAAGAGTGTTGCTGATGGAAATTCCGAGCATAGATATGGTGGGCTTGGTGGGATGGTGGTGCTAGACATTACAATATCGGGCATACTGAGTTCCGCATTTCTAGAGAAAATACAGGCTTGAGTTTTGGTGGCGTTGAATTCAACTAGGTTGTTGGTTCCTCAGGCTGTGATTTCAGCAAGGTCTTCATTGCCAGCATTGACCTGCCTGCGCCTTGAGTTCTTAGTTTCCTGGGAAGAAATGGGAATTCTGTAAGAGAACGCAGTATGGAGGGTACTATCATCTGCAAAGCTGTGGATGGGGCAAGTTATTACTCCCAACAGATCATTGATATGAAGAAGGAATAATATTGGTTCCAAAATTGATCCTTGTGGAACGCCGGAATTGATGACAATGGTATCAGACGATACACCGTCCACCACCACGTGAAGCGATCTGCCTGAAAGAAAACTCGATAGGAGATGGCATAGCTGAGGTGGTAAGCCGTATGATGGTAGTTTGTGGAGGAGTCCTTCGTGCCAAACACGGTCGAATGCTTTCGATATGTCCAACGCGACAGCTAGAGATCTTCGGTGGCGAAAGCCGTATTGTCTATCATTGATGATTCATGAGCTCTCCAGATATTTGATAAGCTCAATATTGATGGCTTTCTCCATCACTTTGGAGATTACTGATAACAGGGCAATGGCCTGTAGTTGTTGGGCAGGTTCTTGTTCCCTTTTTTGGGGATTGGTTGGACTCTACCTGTCTTCCAGCATGATGGAAATATACCCGACCTGAACGAGACGGTAAACAACTTGCAGAGAATCGATGTTGATTCTGGTGCACATTTTTTGAGGATAATGGGTGGAATTCCATCAGGACCATTAGCCTTATTCGTTATGAGACCAAGCAAAATTCGTCTGATAGTGCGTAGACGGAAGACGATTTCGGGCATTCGACTCTCAACGGGTGGAATGTCTGGCGGTACTTTTCCTTGAGAATCTGAAGTAGAGTTTGCTGCGAACATCTCTGCAAAAATATTTGCTTTCTCCTGCGATGTTGTTGCTAATGTGCTGTCGGATTTGGACAGTGGTGGAAATGAACTATTAGTGAAATTTCTTCCGACCGCTTTAGCAAGGGACCAAAACGAACGGGAGCCATTGGGACAATCTATGAGTTTGGATCTTATCTTGGCATTGTATGTTTCTTTCGAAGCATCTATTGTTTGGCTGCAGTTATTCCTGGCATCAACGTATTCTGCTCTAGTCGCGAGGTTAGGGTTTTTGCGCCAGCGATGGTAGGCTGTTTGTTTCAAGGCAACAGTTCTAGAACAGTTTTTGTTGAGCCAGGGTTTCGATAGTGATGATCTTTTCGAAGAATGAGGTATGTATGTGTCCATTCCGAGCATGATGATCTCGGATATTTCCGCAGCACACTGTGAAGGGTCCTCAGGGCAGGTTGTGGAGGTGAGTGTGTGGTCAGAATTTCCAAGTATTCTTGAGTTTACTTATTCTTAGTTGGCCATGGCGCCCGCAGTTGCGTTGGAAACAATCAACTGCCACGGAGGATATCATCAATCGGCTCGTTTGAATTATTCGAATAAAGATTACTTGAAACTATTTATTATTTTTTACTGAGACATGTTAATTCGCCAATATCTCGAAAACTGTTGAGTGTAGATACACAATCGAAAATAAATGATCATGTCCAGAAATAAAAAAAAATTCGGTCTGCAAACGCAATTTTCAACTTGAAATTTGAAATATTTCGAAAACGGTTAGACTTGGGTATAGGACATTATACATGAAACATGTTCAGAATTATGCGTAAAATCTAAAAGCTTGATGATATACATGGTGTCCTATTTAAAATAACGAAGTTGGGGTCCACTTCCGGTACAACCGGAAGTTCCACAATCTTCAAAATATTTCAGCGGGATAGCACTTATCAACAATAGTGAACTCCCAAAATTTCAAATTCAGCCCACTTATTGTTTTTTTGTATATATTGATCGATGCAGTTCCCGGTGGGACACCATGTATAGTCATACTATAATAATTCAAATGAGGATCGTATAGCCTCATTTTATAATGTCATGTAGATTACAGTTAATACAGGTTGATTAGTTTTTAATTTTCAGTATCATACTATTTTCCACCACTATCTCTAGAAGCTACCATTATTCACTCCGTTTCAAGGCGAAAACTGTGTTCACCTACTACCAATAAGTAATGTGAAACATTACGACACTGATTTTAGTATCGTAATGAGATACTTTACCGCACTAGTGCGGTGAACTGTTACTTTATCACACTAGTGCAGTAAAGTGAAAAATAAATAATTTGAAATTTCATTTTTACTCAAAAAAAGAAATAAGAACCAATTGATCATGAATATTGCATGTACTAAAGTTTCGATTGCTGCATTCGCCGCAATTTCTATATCGAAATCTAAACTTTCCTGATCCGAATTCATGCCGATGAACGTTTTTTTAAATCCATGACACCCACCTTCATCAATACAAATGTCAATTCCTTTGTTTTCATTGCCAACTTTTTTTTGTTAAATTTTCATTGGCACAACTGAGATATTATGGCTGTATGAAGAGATTTGGGACACCCGGTATGTATTAAACCATATGGGTCAAATGCACTTGTTGCTTGACAAATATACTATCATGGAATGTACGAATTTACATTTCAGAGAATTGAATCGAATTATGTTGATTCAAAATGTATACCAAATGAATTAAACAGTAAAAAATTCCAATATTTGAATAGATATTGAGATCGCGATCAAGAACACGAATAAAACGCAATAATTTGAATTTCAAAGTGACTAATCCAAAACATATCTACAGAAAACCGTACCATAGATGGTATCTCTCCTATTCAAATTTTATTGATTAAGAAAGTGGGGAAAGGATAATGACAAGTGGCAGTTTTTTTTCATGGATATTTGTCAGTTATTTTCGTTTTCAGTTGGTCACCTTGTATATAGAGCATTGTAACACGAAGGGTTCGAACAACTTTATAGTCCAGTAGCCAGCGGATTTTGCCCAGCAAAAGGTCCGGTAGTTTTGATCTT